CACACAAAATTTGGTGAAGATATCTTAAAAGAGGTGTCCAAATGCATAATGAACAAACAACTTTTCAAAATAGATTCAGTAGATTAAATTAAAGATGACAATTTCCCATCTCTATCAATCTTTGTGTCACTTTACAAAGCCTCTCTAGATAACTGGGATGTTAGCTGCACACTCACACCGCCTACACACCCACAATATAGTGGTTCTCTTCTCTTCACCTATTTTATGACCTTATAACACGTCAGAACCTCCCAGGTTATAAATGTCATTCCTCTAATACACCTTAGTACAATGGCAAAGTTAGATCTATGCTTCTTTCAGTGCCTTAATAAAAAATATATATTCACCAACAGATCAAACACAGCTAAGCCTGCCAGCACACCATGAAATATTGCTTGCAGGAAATTAAAACTTCTATGCAATCTCCCATACCTCCTTATATGCAGAGATACTGTATTCTTTTCCAGGTGATAAGAGAAAAAGAAAAGGTCTTGAAACTAATTACTTTAGTACACTTCTTAGGGGGGGAAGGATGGAGAAAATAAAATGAAACCTGTCTGGAGCAGTCATTCAAAAGACTGAGACACTGTGGTTGTTTTAGGAAGATTAGTCAAAGAGCCAAGTTATATAGCCCATTGTCAAAAAAATGACTGGCAGAAGAAGTAAAAAGAACATCAGTAGAAAATCCATTCTTATTCCTATACAATGTTTCCCTGTAACTTTTCCCTGAGGTTCAGTTTGCTGCTATATATTAAAAGGTATTTCCTTAACTTGGGACTTTTAGCGAAAAATGAAATCCCTAATTTCCTGTAAATATCACAACACGGCTACATCTTTCTCAGGACAATATCTTCATGTTTTATTATGTTTTTATGAACATAATAAGCCTCCCGGAGTGGCTGGGGCAACCAAGCCAGATGGGCAGGGTATAAACATTACGACGACTACTACTATTACTATTGGCATTATTGCGATTTTCTGTACTCAATATACTGTTGCTCATTGCTTATCTGGACCAGGGTGTAACGTTTCATGGAATCATATAATTGTAGAGCTGGAAGGTACCCCAAAGATCATCTAGTCCAACCCCCTGCAAGGCATATAAAAATACATCCTCTCTGGATTAATATGGGGATCCAACACACACACACACACACACACACATCCCTATCCCTAGGTAAAGGTAAAGGTACCCCTGCCCATACGGGCCAGTCTTGCCAGACTCTAGGGTTGTGCGCCCATCTCACTCAAGAGGCCGGGGGCCAGCGCTGTCCGCAGACACTTCCGGGTCACGTGGCCAGCGTGACAAAGCTGCATCTGGTGAGCCAGCGCAGCACACGGAACGCCGTTTACCTTCCCGCTGGTAAGCGGTCCCTATTTATCTACTTGCACCCAGAGGTGCTTTCGAACTGCTAGGTTGGCAGGCGCTGGGACCGAGCAACGGGAGCACACCCCGCCGCGGGGATTCGAACCGCTGACCTTTTGATCGGCAAGTCCTAGTCGCTGAGGCTTTAACCCACAGCGCCACCCGCGTCCCTATCCCTATCCCTAAGATGCATTAAAGCTGTAACCCAGCTATGATCTCCAATAATAATAATAATAATAATAATAATAATAATAATAATAATAATAATAATTTATTTATACCCCGCCCATCTGGCTGAGTTTCCCCAGCCACTCTAGGCGGCTCCCAATCAAATGTTAAAAACAGTACAGCGTTAAGTATTAAAAACTTCCCTAAACAGGGCTGCCTTCAGATGTCTTTTAAAGATAGGATAGCTGCTTATTTCCTTCACATCTGAAGGGAGGGCGTTCCACAGGGTGGGCGCCACCACCAAGAAGGCCCTCTGTCTGGTTCCCTGCAACCTCACTTCTCGCAATGAGGGAACCGCCAGAAGGCCCCCGGAGCTGGATCTCAGTGTCCGGGCTGAACGATGGGGGTGGAGACGCTCCTTCAGGTATAGATGTTGTTGGACTCCAACTCCCATCATGCATCACCAATGGCCATGCTGGTTGAGGTTCATGGGAGTTGGGGTCCAACAGCATCTGAAGGGCACAGCTGCCTTATCGCTGCTGTTACCCTTAAGAGTCATTCAAGGAATATGGGATAGCACCAGTTCTAGCTAGGACATATCCTCATTCAGTAGAATGTCCACAGGAAGTTGCTGCATGTACACATGGAAGCAGTAACCCTTCAAACAATGTTCCCGCCCTGCACACTTATTGAAAGCACTTCTGATTGACCGGGAAAGAAAGGGCCATTGTTGAAATGTTTATGATCTACCACAAGGTGTCACTCAAGTGCTGCTGGGAACACAATGCAAACAGCAACTCACAGAAGGAAGAGAGAAACCTCCCAAAACTGTTTGGTCTGGTATTTGGTGGGTTGTGGAATTACCCAGGTCTGTGGAATGACATGCATGAAACTACAGTGGTACCTTGCAAGACGAACGCCTCGCAAGACGGAAAACCCGCTAGACGAAAGGGTTTTCCGTTTTGGAGGCGCTTCGCAAAACGAATTTCCCTATGGGCTTGCTTCGCAAGACGACAGCCCATAGGGAAATCTCCGGGACAGCGGGGAAGCGCAGCGCGTCTTCCCCGCTGTCCTTGGACCCTCCTCCGAAGCCTGGTGGCGGGGCGGGGACACCTCCTCCCGCCGCCGCCGGGCTTCGGAACGATGCCCCGATGCCGGGCGGCGGGGCGGGAAACGGCCTCCCCCCGCCGCCCGCCATCGGGACGATGCCCCGATCCCGGGCGGCGGGGGGGGCGGAACGCCTCCTCCGCCACCCGCCATCGGGACGATGCCCCGATGCCAGGCGGCGGGGCAGGAACGCCTCCCCCCGCCACCCGCCATCGGGACGATGCCCCCGATGCCAGGCGGCGGGGGGGGAAACGCCTCCTCCGCCGCCCGCCATCGGGACGATGCCCCGATCCCGGGCGGCGGGGAACGCCTCCGCCGCCGCCGACATCGGGACGATGCCCCGATCCCGGGCGGCGGCGGGGGAAACGCCTCCTCCGCCGCCCGCCATCGGGACGATGCCCCGATCCCGGGCGGCGGGGGGGAACGCCTCCGCCGCCGCGCGCCATCGGGACGATGCCCCGATCCCGGGCGGCGGGCAGGAACGCCTCCCCCCGCCACCCGCCATCGGGACGATGCCCCGATGCCGGGCGGCGGGGCGGGAACGCCTCCCCCCGCCGCCCGCCATCGGGACGATGCCCCGATCCCGGGCGGCGGGGGGGGAACGCCTCCTCCGCCGCCCGCCATCGGGACGATGCCCCGATCCCGGGCGGCGGGGGGGGAACGCCTCCGCCGCCGCCCGCCATCGGGACGATTGCCCCGATCCCGGCGCGGCGGGGCAGGAACGCCTCCCCCGCCGCCCGCCATCGGGACGATGCGCCCCAATCCCGGCGGCGGGGGGGGGAACGCCTCCGCCGCCGCGCGCCATCGGGACGTTGCCCCGATGCCGGGAGGCGGGGCGGGAAGCCTGGGCGCGCTGATCTCAGCGCGCGCAGGCTTCGGCATGCTGGCACCTGTCAGCAAGCAGCGGCAGCGCTGCCGCTGCTTGCGGAGAGGTCCGCGAAGCCTGGGCCGGACAGCTTTTGAAGGCAGGCGGGGGGAGCAAAGACTTTCGCCCCCCCGCCAGCCTTCAGAAGAGGTCCAGGACCTCTTCTGAAGGCCGGCGGGGGCGAAAGTCTTTGTCCCCCCTGCCTGCCTTCCCAGGGGCTTTTAAATCGCCCCGGACAGCGGAGAAGTCCTCCGCTGTCCCGGAGTGATTTTAAAATGCCGCCCGTCAGCATTTTAAGATCGCCCCGGACAGCGGAGACGTCCTCCGCTGTCCCGGGGTTTTTTAAAATGCTGGGGGTGGGAAGAAAAGCCCTTGTCCCCCCCCCCAGCCTTCAGAAGAGGTCGGGGGACAGACTGTCCCCGGACCTGGTCTAAAGTCGGTTTCCCTAGGAACGCATTAATTGATTTTCAATGCATTCCTATGGGAAACCGTGCATCGCAAGACGAAAAACTCGCAAGACGAAGAGACTTGCGGAACGAATTAATTTCGTCTTGCGAGGCACCACTGTACACTTTTCTTACACAAAGAAGCAAAAACAGGAAAGGGCCAGGGCAGACGGACAGACTGACTGAAGATATTTTCAGATAGATAGATAGATAGATAGATGATAGAGATAGATAGATAGATAGATAGATAGATAGATAGATAGATAGATAGATGATAGATAGATAGATAGATAGATAGATAGATAGATAGATAGATAGATAGATAGATAGATATAGATGATAGATAGATGATAGATAGATGATAGATAGATAGATAGATAGATAGATAGATAGATAGATGATAGATAGATAGATAGAAGAAAGATGGGCAGATTGACAGACACAGAAATTTTCCAGAATGATCTGGAAAGTCCATATTGGAAACAGAACCGTGAACTATATGAAACTTTGACATCATCCAGGCAGGATTTGCTTATGCTCTGAACATGAAGACCATCAGAAGTACGTTGAATTGAAATTGATGGGGCTTATTCAGTGGGATTAGGACTGCAGCTTTACAATGCAAACCGAGTGCCAAAATATGGAGGTTGGGAGAGGGTAGAATGCGGCATCTCTTCCTCCCCATCCCCATTAAAATGACCTTAAACCTTAAGTAATAATAATAATAATTTATTATTATTTATACCCTGCCCATCTGGCTGGGTTTCCCCAGCCACTCTGGGCGGCTTCCAACAAAGATTAAAATTACATTAAGGTTGGATAGTTACAATGGAATGGTCTCAGTGGTGGGGTGCACATTTTTCTTCTTATTTACTTATGATTATAACTTTGTCAAAATATTTTTTAAAAAATTAAAAAGAAAGTATACAGTGTAAATAAATGTATAAAATATAAATAAAAGAATGAAAAAATTAATAAATAAATAAATAAATATTAACAAGATGACCTTAAGCCAACACAAATTCCTTACTATGCTGTATCTACTTACCCCAACTGAGGGAAGGCAGAAGAAGTTGCCAGAAGTTACCTCAGTGCGAAGGTGACGAAAAGGTGTGTGTCGGGCCAGCGAAAGAGTGGGTTGGGTTTGGGGAGGAGGATAAAACAGCTCCCTGTATCAGTGACGGACCTACATTTTGGGGTCCCTGAAGCTTGAACTGTTATGGGGGCCCTTTGCAACCAGCAACAAGATCCTGGTAACCCTTGTTGTCTTCTTCAACAAGGTTGTTCCTCGGCAGTTCGCCACACCTTGACGACACCTGTGCTACCGACTCTCAAACGTTGGGATTGTTGAAATAGATACAACAACAACAAAAAATAAACAATTTGAGTTGTGACACTGAGATTGGACCTAAAAAAATTAAAAAATTAAAAAGGAAGCAATGTGGACTAAAGTTGCTTCTGGGATTAGCGGCCCTGAAACTTAAGCTTCCTTAGTTTCATAGTAGATCCGCCCCTGGCTCTTTATTAATTGATCCTGCCTACAAAGCAATTAATAACACCACACAAAAATTGCAGGTGTAACCAGTGCTATTTTTTTCTAGAAAAAACGGTGCCAGAAGTCACTGGAACACCTCCCTTGTTCTCTTTATAATGGCAATGGCGCCCACCTGAGAGGCGCCAGAACCGAAGTTCCGGCAAGTTCCGGCTGGGGAAAAAATGCCCTGGGTGTAACTAAAATTCACCCCACAGGGGTTGATGGAAGGACACAAAATGAAAGTTTTCACCACCCTTGTCTCACACACCAGAGCACTTAGGATATAGTTTAAGTTACACAGCTATGTTGGTGGAGGATTGCCCTGCTAAACCTTCAGTTTACAGCGAATTCAAAAGTCTCGCAGGCCATGTGGTGCAATCTGTGGATCTCCTCAGATTTGTACACTGAGCTGACTCCAGTTTTACCATCATGCAGACATAGCACTCGCCCTCCCATAGCACCCCTCCGACCTTTGTGGCTGGTGGGTGCGTGTGAGGCATTTTATTTGGGAAGGGTTGCCACAGGGAGGATTGCAGTGGCAAGACAAACAGCGCTCTTATCAGGAAAGTGCTGGTTGCGGCCTACAGCCGCCATTTTACTTCCCCTCACAACGTCCCAGGGACCTGATGTACTATTGCTCAGGGCATAGCTGTCAACTTTTCCCTTTTCTTGCGAGGAATCCTTTTCAGAATAAGGGAATTTCCCTTTTAAAAAGGGAAATGTTGGCAGCTATGGCTCAGGGATGCTATTTGAATCAAGTCTCGTTTTCAAAAGAGGGTTTCTTGTTATTAGATGCATAAAACCACCTACAATTTCACTGCAACATGCTCATTTCCACACACAGTTGAAGTCATTTATGGCAGACATTTTTTTTTTTATTATTATTATTATTATTATTATTATTATTATTATTATTATTATTATTAGCAAAGTAGTCCCACTGACAACAGTGAGCTGGTTCTTGTTAAATCTGAGGAAGGGAGCATTAATTCTTTCACATCCTCAGTAGTCTGTTGCCATTCGATGCCAAATCTTTAAAAAGAAATATCATCATGCGGGTTAGAAAGCGTAGATTTTGCCGCTATTTATTTTGGTTTCTTTCCTATCCAAGCATAATCAAAAATTCCTGAAGTTTCATTTGGCCACATCACACCCATTGTGCCTTCCTGCTGAAGTTGCAACAAATATTCTGCTGAAAGACAAAACCGCATATCCTGTGGGATCTATCTGTGCAACCATTTCTTTATGAGTTTATCCTCTCCATTTCTCCCTGCTTGCAAAAATAAAAGTTGAAGGTACTGATTATTTTCCTTGATCTAACAGACGCCTTCTAGCAAAGGCAAGATCAGACAGTAGGAAATTTGTATCACCCTGTGAACACAGCAGTGAGTATGGCAGATGTCAGAACCAGGAAAATAGGAGAGATAGAAAACATAAATGCGAGTGAAAGGAGGAGAAGAAATGAGCTGGATCTCAGCACCAGCTATTCCAAACTGAGAGGACATATTTTGATTTTCTCAGATATTGGCAAAGATTGGCTCAGACATCATCCTGAAATCTCCTTGACCTACAGTGGTACCTTGGTTTAAGAACTTAATTTGTTCTGGAGGTCCGTTCTTAACCTGAAACTGTTCTTAACCTGAGGTACCACTTTCGCTAATGGGGCCCTTGCTGCCGCCGCACAATTTCTGTTCTCATCCTGAAGCAAAGTTCTTAACCCGAGGTACTATTTCTGGGTTAGCGGAGTCTGTAACCTGAAGCGTCTGTAACCTGAAGCATCTGTAACCCGAGGTACCACTGTACATGAAAAATGGACAATTAATATTGTTCTCACAATGCTGTAGGCTTTGCCACTTGGACATGAGGACCTTCAGGGCACATTCAAAACCTATGATTCTAAGGTTGTAAGCTAAAAGAGTAGATTAATGGATTTGGAGAACGTCACATATCCCAATCATTGTAACTCTGCTTTCTAGAGATATTGAAACTCCCCAGCTTTGCATTGCACTGTAGTTTTATGAAACTGTGTGTGTTTGTAGAACAATGTTGCAACTCAGAAGAGAGTACATGTTCATGGTTGTTATGGTTGTGGTTTGTAGCCATTCAGTAAGTGCTATGACACTTACTGAAGCAATGACACTCATGCATCCCTTCTGTATAACCATTTGGGAGGATCCCTTGACTCATCAACATAGCGGCAAATAAAACGTTTTAAATGTGTTGTGAAATGCAATAAACACATGTGACACTAGATGGCGACAGTGAGCTATGCAAAAATCCAATGTATTTTTCCAAACTTTTTTAAAAAAGCATTTTTACAGCATTTTTAATATGTGTGTAGATTCCACCCCTGTGAACAGAATCATGCAAGGCTCACATTCAGATTTGTAAATGCTTTTTGCATTATTTTATTTCAATAGCCATAATGAGTTCCACAGAACCCAAACCATTTGCTCCTGGTCATTTTAACTCTGAAGAAGTAGAATTAAAGCTTTATGCTAAGTCCTTCAAAGACACGAAACAATGCATTATATATTCAAATAAAGTGATATTGTTTGTTTGTTTGTTTATTATTGAATTTATATACAGCCCTATAAATATAAATTCAACAATATTATATATATTGAAGGAGGTCACAGAACAACATACAACAAACTCTGTGCATATAATTTACAACCAAAACACGATATATTTGCAAACAGACACACAAGCCCTCCATCACGGCAGGGTGGGCTTTAGGCATGCACATGCCACTCTTTTGGTCTGCTTCCTCTCTCTCTCTCCCCGCAGGTGTGTCCCCAATCTGCTCTGGAGGGTTGGGAGAAGCCCCAGAACAGGCTTGAGGTGGGAGAAGAAGTGGAGGTTCTGCTGTGTGAGCAGAAATCATTTAACTTGCACAAGAATTTTGCTGGATTCAGCCCTCGTTCCCTCGCCAATGCGCAAACACAACACCAGACCTCACTTGTTTCCTAAAAGTTCAGATTCCCTTTCCATGTCTTCATCCTCTGTGCCTGCTCCAACCCTTTGGATGCTCCTCCTAAATTCAAGCAACAAAAGGCACAGATGGTCCCCAAAGTCATGTCATCTCAGATCAGCTGGCCTTCTGCTCCTTGGCCTCCCTTGGCCCAGCCTCTTCCCCTAAGATCCTGACCCTGGAACATATAGATAATTCCACTGTGACATCCTAACTTGAGAAGTTCGCTGCCTGCAATCTGCTTCAACCACATGACAAAGTTTCCTTGTATCTGAAACTGGGGAAATCCAACTTTTGCATCCAGACGGTGTACAAATATAGGTGACTCTTGATTTCATTGCATTTCAAATCATCGTGAATACCCAGTAGGTTGTCAATCAGAACTTTTGTATCTTTCTGTGAAGTGCCAATGTCAATCACTGTCTAGAAAAGCTGTGCTTTCGTCCCGTGAACATATGGCTGTGTTTCAGGCTGATATGACTCAGAAGAACCAGATTAGGATATCAAGAGACAAGTACGAAGCAGCTGTGCATGTATTCAGGCCAATTATTGCTTTAGCCCTCAAGGGCTTCATTTAAAGTCTTTGGCAAAGATGGATGGAAGGAAGGGGAAACATTAAAAGAAATATTTTACTCTCACAATGTTCAGAACAAGTACATACATGAAACAGAATAATAAGAACTATATATGCGGGGTCCTAGTTCAGTAGTGGAGGGGACGCGTCGATCGCATGGTCGGCGGTTCGAATCCCCGCGGCGGGGTGAGCTCCCGTCGTTCGGTCCCAGCTCCTGCCCACCTCGCAGTTCGAAAGCACCCTTAAGTGCAAGTAGATAAATAGGGACCGCTTACTAGCGGGAAGGTAAACGGCGTTCCGTGTGCTGCTCTGGTGCCGGTTCGCCGGAGCAGCTTCGTCACGCTGGCCACGTGACCCGGAAGTGTCTGCAGACAGTGCTGGCTCCCGGCCTCTAGAGTGAGATGAGCGCACAACCCTAGAGTCTGTCAAGACTGGCCCGTACGGGCAGGGGTACCTTTACCTTTACCTTTTAGTTCAGTAGTAGAGCACAGGATCGGGATGCAGAAAATCTCATCTTCAATCCCTGGTAAGAATGGAGTTCGCATTTAATTCAGGTTCACGTGTAAAAGCAAACATACCTAATCAAACACTTTCCAAAATGATACACAAGTGGAAACACAAACATCCTACAAACGCCACACTTCTCCGAATTTTGCAGTGCAGTTTTCCAGCCAAGCAATGTGCTCAAAAAAGCATTATACTAGGGTAAAATGTGTGCACAAAAATGCATATATTTGTGAGAAAAGCATACAAAAATGCATTACATGTGGGGAAATCGCTTTTCAAAATGTGTTTATTAGGCAAAATTGCAAACAAAAATGTGTATATTGGGGGAAATGTGCACTACAACACTGGTGTATTTTTCATGAGGACTTTGAAAAAAATGTGGAGGACTGAGCTTGAAAGTGGAAAAATGAGAGAGTTAAAGAAGCCAAAATTGATAGATTTGCCCATCCCCAATTCTTGGCATCAGCAGTAAAAAGGGTCGTGGAGTAGACTCCAAAGAATCATAGAGTTAGAAGGGACCACGAGGGTCGGGGCTCTAAGATTAGGAGTCTCATTACCGACTGAGCTATGATAGGAATGATCTCCATTTGAGATCCCAGGCAGTGGCTAGATGATGGGTTGTGCTAGCTAGTCTGACCTAGGGATGGTGTTTCCTTTCT